AGTAGACAGTAATAAATAGTTGCATCGACCTTGCAAAAAACGTGCATAATGACTAGTTTTATAATAAAGTTGAGTCCAAAAATTATCTCGAATAATCATTAGAGCAAGATCTAAGAAGTTCCACAAGGTGGACAATAGAATTAATGCTTTACCTGTGTGCTTGCGCAAATTGGATCAAATGGCAAGTCTTTAGATATCTGTGCGTCTGCAGAGGCAACTGATTGAAGAGGCGAGGGCGGTTGCTGCATGTCTTGCTTCTGCAATAGGGGCGAACATAACGTGGTGCTTTGTTGTATGAAAGGAATGGGCGAAGGAGAAGCGACTGACGGATGTGGATGGAGAGGTGACGATGCTTCCATTGATGCTGTACTTATCTCGGACCAATCAAAGCCCCCTTCCTCCGGTGAACAAGTTTCAAGCTGTTTGAGTTTAGGAGAAACGGTAATAGGCCTAATTAATCCCTTTCCTGATGAAGGCCCCATAAAGCCAGACGATGGAAGAGACCTGACGAGAGATGGCGAGCCAGTGGAAGAACAGTGGGAAGATAAAGTTTCGAGACGAGGACCGGATGAGGAATTTATGGATTCGGAAGATAGGGATGCGAAAATAAAGTCCTCTGCTTCAGGTTGAGTATCAGGAATAATAAGGGCATCTTCACACTGAACCTAGAGTTTTATTAATTAAATAAGATAGAGACTTTCAAAGTTTTAGTGACCATAGTTAGAATAAAATTGGCCAGATTTAATGAAAGTTAACGAAAAAAATTATAATTGCGAAAAATAGAATCAGAGGAATATTGGGAATGAATAAAATGCGGGTTTCAACTAATCTCTTGAGATAACAGCGTTATGGAGACTATAATTTCGTATGAAAGTGTGTGATTAAGCGAATCGTAGATTGATTTTACCAAAAGACAACGACTTAATAGAAAGTCTTTCAAACAATATTGGGAAAGAAGTGAAAAATTGCGGGAAAAATAGTAGTGGCAGCAGTTGATGAATAATTGAAGTTTATTCTCGTGAATGGAGAATCCACCTATAGATTACTTTAATCCGAGCGAATTAACCAAGGGAATTTGCAGAATAATCGAAAAGGTTCCAATGAGATATTTATAATTTTGCAAATAAACATAGAAACAGAGTGAGTCAACAAGTTCATTTCAAGATTTGATAAGAAGCAAACCTATTTTGTCATTGATTATAGG